AAAACATACATTTTTCTTGGGGGAGGACCCCCAAACCCCTTCCCCTCCAAAAATGTTCACCAAAGTCTTACACAGACCTAGGGAAAACACTGCGATTTTAAAAATATATATATCTTGGAGAATTTTTGGCCTATATTAGATGGAAAATGGATAGTGGTAGGAAATAGGAGAGAGAGGGTGGGCGTCACGCAGCAAAGGGCCGCAGGGCGGATTCGAACCTGGGCCGCAACAGTAAAGATTCAGCCTTGCACATAAGGCATGCGCTCTACCGGGTGAGCTAAAGCACTCATCACTGGGCTTTTAGAAGTATAGTAGAATGAGTTTGTATATTTTCATTTAATAAAATGTATAAATATTACAGTAGCTTCATTCATATTGCCAGTAATAATGTTGGTGTCAGGTTTTTTTGTTTTATTTGTTTATCATTTTCTTGATGTCTTGTTACAGACTGAACCTTCAATATTTATACCTGGATTAATGAAAAGCAGGAACACTAAATCGAGCCCTCTGCTAATCTGATCTCAGGCATGCTGCATTCTCATTTGAAACACAATATGATGCTATCAAAAGCAGGAGCGATAATCCATCTGAAGACACATTTGCAGGGATGGCGGCTTCAAAGAAAAGAAAAGAGTGACTTGAAATATTGTCAGTCTTGAATTAAGAATCAGATTAAAGTTATGGCAAGCTTCATGAATAATGCAGCCAGCATTTATTTCCCAGGAAGTCAACTGTAAAACATAGTCCTCTTGCCAAGTTTCCCTGCTCTCAGTACTCTCTACATTTCATCCACACTGGTAATGATGAATGGCATTTTAAAGTAAACTAATTAAACCCGAAAAAGAAAATGAATTGTGACAATATTTCATCCCATCAACATCATAATGGCGCAAGTGTCAGGCTATTTCTTGCCATCAAAAAATTAAAAGTATAAATCAAAGGTTATGGAGAGAAAAAATGAGATTGGGTTTGAAAGTTATTGTTTTAACAGGATGACATAATCATTAGAAACGAATTTATGACCCCGGAGCAAAGACTTTTCTATGATCTAGTGTTGGCATGTCAGTGTAATATCCCTGTCATCGTGTTTGCCTCATTCTTTCAATGGGCACTGGCAGGAAATACTCTCATTTCAATGGCACACTTACTGTGAGTGGAACGAGCTGCTCAGGAGATGACCAAGGCCCCTCTCCCTCCTGGCAAAGCTGATAAATTGCTCAAATTCCACAGCAGTACCCCACAAATATAACTCATCCATTCAGTGAGGGAGGAAGCAGATCTACGTGCAGGATATAATTCTGACTCTGAAATCTGATTTCCGTGTAGCAAAACTGTCAGTGATAATAAAATTCTATTCCTGTAAAAATAAACAAAGCTCGACTCTCTAAACTCTTCTGTGAGTCCACACACCCCTAAAGTTTATTTAACAGTGCTTTTGACTGCTAGAAAAAAAGTGATATCGGCTTCATCTGTGGAAAAAAACCCTTTGATCAACACTTTGAATAGATGTTATTGAAAAATCAACACTTAACTAACAGTGGAATATGTGCTATGTACATTTTTAATGCAGCCATTTGAGTTGAGTTTCATTGTAACCAGCTGTGTGTGTGTTGAATTGTTTCAAAGCCAACAAGCCACCCACTTTTCATGCTCTAATCGGTGCCGTTGGTTTCACAGTGAAACCTTCGGGCCGCATTCGTTTCTTCACATCTCCCTGTGAAATAAGCATTGTCGCTTCAGGAAATCTTCATTTCTGCATGTGTGAATACTTACTGTAACACATCAGACATAGTGTGAAACACTGTGAAAACCTGCTGTTATCATCGCTCTTCAGTCAGCAGCTCTCCGTCTCACCCGTGTTTGCATGTTGCTCTGTATGAATGGTGGTGTTGTTGTCCTCCTGGATCCATCCTCTGATGTTTTACAATCCACATTTTGTCATAATAATTGTCTATACTATGATATCCTGTTGTGAATCTATTCAATACACATGCCATCTTTTGCATGTCTGTCTGTTTGTATCCCTCCTGTTGCTCTTCGTGAGATTTCTTCCATTTCTTTTTCCATTAACATGTTTTTTGGGGGATTTTTCCTCTTTCGAATCGAGGACAGAGGGCGTTGTATGCTGTAAAGATTATAAAGCAATTTGAGGCAAATGATGATTTGTGATATTGGGCTATATAAATACAATTAACTTGACTTGATCTGTCAGATGATTCCTGCTACTCAAAACACTGTCCGTCCCACTGTAGTACACATTTCACAGGGAAATAACCTTTTTTTTAGTTTTAGTTAAGATTTAAAAACAAGAATGAGCAGTATATAACAATATAGCAATACAAGCTTGATCCATAAAACATAGAGACATACAAGTGGCGTCACATCTTCCCATAATCCCCCTCCAGAATGGCTGCAGCCCTTCATCTCTCAGCCCTGTGTGAGAGGCAACAGTAAAAGAGACCTGTGTGAATTATTTTCATTGTTTGTTATTTTCATAATTGTTCCTTTATTTTTTTTTATTTCACATTTGATAGTTATTTTTTGTTGTTTTTTATTTATTTTATCTATTAATGCACACACGCTCTCACACACACATACACACACACACACACACACACACGTTTAATGTTTTATTTACTTTATTTAATGAACTGTATTAAATGAGTAGTTCTTTTGTAATTAATTTGTTGCTTTGGCAATATTGTTGTTTTACATTCATACCAATAAAGCTTAATTGGAGAGGGAGAGAGAGAGAGGGAGGGAGAGAGAGGGAGAGAGAGAGAGAGAGGAGAGAGAGGGAGAGAGAGAGAGGCCTGATAATTGCATAAAAAAACACTTGTTCCTTGTTTCCTAAATGCAACAAAAGCATTTGCAAGCCTTATTGCTTACAGGATGTTGCTTTCTATTATAAATCTTTTTTTGCCTGATTTTTTTAGTGAAAACTACATTCTGCATCTTCTTATTTCATTCTGCAAGATCAAGATCTGTGAGTTTCAGTTTCTGACTCTGTAGTCAGTACAAAGAAAGTATGTAATACATTTTATTTTGATGTGTATTGATCAAACACAGCTGAGTGGAAAGATACATTGCACCTGCCTTGACAGAGACTAGGTGTTTTTTAAAATAAATGTTTTGTACTTTACCGATAAATTTCCTGTAAACAATCTGCTGATGGCTTTGTTCAGTTCTCTTTTTTCCCCTCTACCCAGCATTTTCTGTTTTATTTTTACTTCCTCTCTGTAATTATTTCTATTCGTCTTGCTGAACTTGTTCTTGAAACATGTCAAAGCTGTCATAAATCATAAATCCTGACCTTAAATTCAATTCCAACTTTCTAACCCATCACCACTGTGGCATTCCACAGTGTGACTGAGACTCTAAAATGTATTCAGCTTATCAGTTATTTCTGGCACAAGCAGCCACCCCCCAACTCCCTCTCAATAAATATGGGGTTGACTAAGTTGATATGCCTCGGAGGCGTTTTAAATATTCCCCAAAAAAATATCTATGCATAAAGCAGGGCAACATAATTGGATGATTTATGACCTTTTCAAACCACTGGAGCGATTAACTGAAGACATCATTCAGAGCTGTCAATCAAACTGATTGTTCACATGGAAACGGAACACCATGAGGAACCCAGCTGACTTGAGAAAGATGCCTTCGAGAGCCTTTCACTAAAGTGGCCTCTTCAGGACTGTCAGTTGCGTTGTTATTGTGTTAAGATAAAACTTCTATCAGACAGCTATGCTGGCAGAAAGAGAAATGGAATCAAAAGGCACAGGTAGATCTGTGCACATTCATGCATTCATGTTGCCCCCTCAAGGGTGACATGGTTGCAGCTCATCACAGTGCCCTCTCCTCACTCACTGCTGGTGACAGACCTCGACTAAGTTCATAGCTTAATAGCACATCTGGGACACATCTTCAAATAAAGCTATCATTACCTCCGATTTAATGATTGCGTAGTGATTTGTCTTTATTGGTCTTCATAGACACACACACCTGCATCTCCAGAGCCTTCCTTTGGTAATAACACCAGGAAGAACAACTTGACACTAATTGGCTCATCATGTCAAGTGTGTTCATGCATAAAGCATTTCTTCTTCTGATGCATAAAAAAATACCAGCTTTGGAAAAGGATGAGATTGGAGAGGATTGCATCCTGGAACAAGATTTCATGTCTTTTGCGTCAACACATTTTATTCCAGCCTACAAAGCGATGTCTGCTTAATCTTCACTATGACCCACAGTGGTGCTGAAAAAAGCCTTTAATACCAAAGACAGAATGGCAGCGTAGCTATTCTACGAGAATCCCAACATTTCTTTTTCTTTATTGATCAAATTCTCTTTCAAATCCAACTATTTATATATACCTCCCACATAAAGAGCACTGTTTATATTCTGTTAAGTCAAATTTCACAGATCTTCATAACATCTCTCCAATTGGCTTATCAGGAGTCGTCCCCCCCCCCCCCCCATCCCCCCTTTGGTCCTCAGAGCTTGCTGGCTCTCAGTCTAATTACCAGAGATAATGGAGGGTGAAGCTAAATGGCACTGATGGGGTCCAGTAGAAGGTTATTAGGTGTCCTCATTAGTGCCCTACTGAAATGAAAGGAGGTTTAAGGTCTTATTCTGATCCTGATGGATGGTGTTCCTCTCACTCTGTCTTTAGAGGGTGTTATTCCACAGCGTAGACAGCTAGGCAGAGGCACGAATAGGGAGATGCATAAAGAGAGGAGTGAGTGAGTGTGTGTGTGTGTGTGTGTGTGTGTGCGCATGGTGATAGCATCCAATTTGGCACATGATGAGACATGATTCTTCTTGAGTGAGAGGAGTATGTTCATTTGCTGTATTACAGTAGGACATGAAACATTCCTAATGCATTGGCAAATTTGACAGTGCTTCTGATTACAAGTGTAACACCAAGACCGCGTTACATCTCGGTCGTAGTTTCATCCCTCTGTAAATGGGAAAAGATAAAAAGAGTAGCACAATGATCAAAGCAATGTATTTCCGTTTTATTGTATTACTCATAGTTGCTCAGACACGTGTATATACAAATACAGATCATTTTTGTCAAATTTTTTTGTTGTTGTTTATATACTGTAAAAGAGCAGGTTGGAAATATTCCCCACTGATGGCAAAGTGGGAGCGGGGTTCAAAGGTGAGGGAAGAAGGACAGCAGGTGGTGTGGTGGAGGTTATACAAGCACAAGAAGAATGGGACAGGACAGGTGCACAAAATGAAGTGGTTCATCAGCCAGAGGGGAGCTGACGAAGAGAGGCTTTGCCCTGCACGCACAGTACCTGGATCGATGATAGGCTTTACCCCGCTAACAATCCAGTTCAGGATTTGGTGGAGGGGGTGCACTAATCCTTGTACTGTGCTTGGGACCGACGTCTACCGTAGGGACAAGTGGTTCAGGGTTGTTAAAAAGGGAGAGAAAGTGAAGGGCCCTGTTGTAGCCTCTTCGACGCCAGCAGCCGTTCCGTGTAAAGCACAATGGCAGAAAGCGTCTTGTACACAGACGTGGCTGCCAGGGCAGAGGCTGAAGGGCTAAGGCATGGGAAACACTCTTCGTTGCCAAAGAGTGTTGCCGCTTCCCATTCACTGTGGCAACAGCAAATGAGAGACGCATACACACAAACTCAAAGGTCTCACACATTTTTTCACACTGGAAAAAACGTCCACATACTAATGTATACACTCCCATAAAACGCCCCCTCTTGGGAGAGCAGAAAGAGGATGAATAGTCAGAAGAGACAGACTGCAACTACATGGGATGAATTCAGTAGATGGGTACAGAAAGAGTCATTCTTAGGAGACAAAAAAAGTTGCTTTTGAACTACAAAATGACCGACCCCCACTGTAACTTCACAACAATGGTTTGTGTTATGTACATTTGTCATCTGTCACTACACAGCTTAATGACATCACTCAAATGGGGATGCAAAAAACACGCAACATGAAAGTGATCTGAAAATCTAACACGTCTTAAAAAGAAAAGAAAATAAGAGCAAAAGAAAACTTTCTTTTTAAAATTTTTCTGTTTGTTTTTTTGTTTTTTTACATGTCATCAAGTTCATGCGCATGCCACATAATGAAACTGGCAAGATCCTTCCATTAAAAAGCAAAACAGTCCACTCATGGCAGATCTTTCAGCTGACCAACATGCTTTCAAACACTGAAGGCAAAAAAGTACAAATAAGCCGTCTTAAGTGTTTCTTTCCTAGGCAGGATCCTTATGTGAAGAGATGGTGAAGGTTGGTGACTGGTTTGAAACATGTAACAGGTGAGCCACTCGTTTGGCTAATGTCCAGCCGTCTGTACACTGGTGTACAGTTCCCACAGGTTTCCCCTTCATATTAGCTCAAAGTTTCATTAGGCATTGAGGATCAAAGCACACAATGCATTGTTTGAGGACAGTACACACTCCGCAAAACCCAGAGATAATACCGTATTCATTTTTTAGAAAAGACATAAGAACCAAATTAATACTTTAATATCAAACACTATTTACATCAAGAAGTTTTCCTAATAATAATAATCATAATCATCATCATCATAACAATAATAATAATTATACAGTTTTAACAATGATGTATCTCATTTTTTTCTTTTTTCCTCCAGAAAGGTACAAAACAGATACTAACCTAATACTACATGTTTTATTGTTGACTACCTCAGGATACACAGTATCCAGTTTATAAGTTGATCCTCATTTCCCAGGTTATGGTGTGTACAGAATAAACCATGGTAATAATAGCAATAATGACAAATAGTAGTATTGGTAATTATAAGAGAGTACAATTGAAGCTGGTTTCTGATAAAAGTTTAGTGTTAATCTGCTGACAAGCGTCCATTTTGAATCGGATGCAGTGCTCATTCCCTGTGGTGTTCTCCTGAAAATTAGAACCTCATTAAATGGCCTCGTCTCCTATTACCCCCCATAGCTGAGCTGCTATTCCGCTGTAATAGCATTGTTACCGTAGCGCAAAAAACAAATGACTAAAGGCAAAGGCAGTCTTTCTGGGGAGAAAAAAAAATTAACACAAAAATAGTAAAAAAAAAACAGCAAAAACAAAACAGTGCATGCCTTTTGAGACCGAATGATACTGAACAATAGGTTTACCATTGGATGAGGTGTTTTTTTCCCCCAGTAGTGTAGCATGGATTTTTAGTTGTTTTATCTTGTTTTGTTAGGCACTCTAGCCACACTACCTCCGGCTGCCTCCCATGTCTTTTCTATCTGTTCCTGTGTGTGTGTCTCTTCCTTTAATTCTCTCCGTCTCCTTGACTTGCCAATTCTCTCAAACTGCAAGGTCATCAGTGCTGTAACCCCCCCCCATGGAAATCTACACCCCCCCCTCCCGAGACCCTCCAAGCCTTCCACCATCTATTTTTAATACCAGAAATAACTCCCTTTGCCACAACATGGGGTCCACATGCCTGTCATTTTGAACCTCATTAACGAGTCACTTAAACCGGTAACACTAGGAACTGAAGGTGGACATGCAATTGCTCCTGTCCTGCTTTTCTTGCTCTTTTTCTATCTTTCATAAGCAATTGGTGACATATTTCTCGTATAAAAACCTGGCTCTTAAAGGAAATTAATTTCTCTGTCTGTCCTTCTTTAAAAGCAAAGAAACAAGTCTCTTCTGTTTTTGGGGAAAAAAAGACGTAATAGCTTTCATTAAGCTAACTCGCCATGTGCATCTGTGGGAACTGAAGGAAGCTAAATATCATTATAACACGGTGAATTCATTTGAATGTAAGTGCTAACATTAACCTGGTCAGACTTGAATTAAATGGATAGTTTCTCTGTTTACACAATGTGTTTTCAACTAATTGGAGCATCTAAATGCTGCACTAACTGCTGCAAAATACTGAATGTGAGAACCAGCTAACTAATATTTCATGAGCGTGAGTCAAAGCTGTGGTTATGTTTAAGTGACAAGGACGTGAGAAAAAATATGGCACTGTGAATTGAAGTGTCTTTCAAACACCCCCCCATGACCTCTGTTATTGTTGTCATTGAAGTGGATTTCAGACAATACAAAAAAATACAAAGTTTACTGTGTCTGCAATGTGAGAGACAATGTTTGGAGACACAAAGTAAAATAACTTAATGGTTTGGAAAAAAGTGTCCAATTTAGCTGTGAATAATTTTTTAAACAATCACTTTCAACAATCCGTATCAGAGAAAAAAGCTGTAGATGCAAATGTCTATGGGCGTGTTAATATTGAATAATACTCAAATGGAACAGAGAGAACAATTGCTGCCCAGCTCAGTAAACATTGCATAAAATGACTGTGACTTTGCCGTAAAATTGTGTGATCAACTTTCAAAAGATATCGATCCTCGCTCTTAATAGCAGTCTACAAAGTGTCTGGAGAGAAAGTTTCAATTTAGCTGTTTTGTGAGTCAGAGTGAACAAAATGCTTTGAGAGGTGTTTTATTGAGCGGACCGGCATGCTCTACACAATGGACAAGAAGGAGGACAAGAAAAAGTTGCCTCATGGTTCCATGGGTTTTACACTCACTCAGTCAAGCCGTAAGTAGCTTATTCACCTATTCATACACTTTGTATTCAAGAGAAAATTGGGCACTATCTTTAAACCAGGACAGTCTGAAGATCAGCGTGCTAAGGTGCATGCCATGTACGTATTTCTTAGTGCTGTGGTTTCCAGTCTGACCTCTGCTTAAAACCATTACTCTAATTTTCCTACTTCTTCATCTTTCAGCTTTGTACTGCACTTCCCAGTAAAATGGAGGCATAGAAATCTGCTTTTCATGACCTAGCAGAACTTGATCAAAATATTTTCTGAAAGGCTTTTTGAGAGGTCTCAGGACAACTATTGTGTATGTCCAGTACTTCCTAAGTCCTAGAATCTTTCCTACTGTGTAATGCTGCTACTGTATACAACTAAAAATCCTACCGCTATTGACTGTTACTCTAGAGGGATTTTTTTTGACTCTGTCAGCGTGTGTGTGTGTGTGTGTGTGTACATGTGTGTGGGTAAACGTCAGTGCTGCAATGATATAAACATGATGTAAAGGGATGTCACAAAAAAGTCACGGGAAAATAAGAATCACTAAGTGTCAAAAAAAGGGATTTGGCATCTTAGTTGAAGGTTTAAGAGGGGGAACTGTCTCTCCCACTTCCAACATCAACTTTTTTCACTCACAGACGGAGAAAGACCACTTAAATATATTTCTGAAAAAAATAGAGGGTTCCTTGAGAAGCCTGCTCTGATGCCCAATCAAGCAAAAACACTCCACCCAAATCCCACCCCTTCCCTGCAGCCTTGGGCAGATTCAGGCCACGCTAGGTGTAAATGCCCTCCGGGACAGAGGGAGGCGCTATAAAGTGAAAAGTGCTGGTAGGCAGACCAGCAGCAAAGCCAGGAGTGGACTTGTTTTCTGCAGGTGCGGGGCAGCATTTGTTTCGTCACTTCGGGAAGGCTCAGCTGGTTCATGGCTGGTATCGTCTGAATAAGAAATAAGAAAAAGAAACAAGGTGAATGGCTCTTTATGGTACAAACTCCTCTTTTGCAACAGTGCATCACAGATAAAAGACAACATTATGCAATTACTGGTTTCTCATTTGTTAAAGTTTCTGTTATGGTGTACATAGCTGTGAGCTGACCATATTTCAAAATTAATAACAATAGTGGAGACATCGGGGCATTACTGAGATGTTCAGCTCATGTTCATTGGGTTTCTTTAAACATAACGGTGTAAAGTTAATAGTAAAGTCTGAGTTGCCATATGAACTTGGGTTGCTATATCATGCTTCTAATCTCCGCAGAAACGTTTTTAATTCAATTCCCAGGTCTTTTGTGTCTGTTTGGCAGTGGCGTCAGTATCTGTGAGCAGCCATGTTCCTGCTGCACCATGATAAAGTAGCTGAACCATGCACAGCAAAGGACAGATAGAACAGAGGGCTGGACAGTTGCATAACAAAACGTGTGTGTGTGGGGGGGGTGGAGGGAAGCGGCAACAGTAGATGACGGATGAATGTTTTAATTTCCCTCAGTTGGAGAATGCAATTGGGGAATGAGCCAAAAGAAGCATGCAAGGTGAGAGGCAGCCATCAAACGTGGAGGCAGGATAGCAAGATGGGCAAATAGGCAGGTGGGCATCACAAATGTCCTAGGTTCTAGCCATGTGTGTATTTGTGTGTCACATTTAGATGTTAGTATATAAAATGTGATCTTCACAGTGAACTGAATGCAATAGATATTTTCAAATAAATTTTATCCATAAAAATGAGGTAAATGACTTGTCTTATATTTGACGATTTGTTATATATCTCATATTTGTTTTTTCCCCCTCCTTTGTGTTGTTTCAGATCCTGGGGATGAGACAGCAGCATGTGGGTGATGTGGAGTTTCTGTTCAGTCACTGGGTGAGACTCACATATGAAGACATAGAAATGCTGTGCGTTCAGCACAGAAAATAATCAATCCTGCGCTACAGAGCCAAATAACAGCACAGTGAAAGAGTGAAACAGATCAAATAAATTTGCCAAATCTATAATTGATGTGTATATGTATACAGATGATTTAATTAATGATATTGATTTATATGTATAGTTTTTGATGTATTAGGGTAGAATGATTTTAGTAAAACATCAAGATTAACTATATGGAGTACATGCAGTTGGAAGTAACATTCAGTGTTCAGTTAGTGAAAAGGTTTGAAAACAGTGTGAGGTATGAAACATGCACATCTATGAGAACATCATACTGTGAATTGACACATTCATGAATATGATATATATATATATATATATATATATATATATATATATATATATATATATATATATATATATAGATAGATAGATAGATAGATAGATAGATAGATAGATAGATAGATAGATAGATAGATAGATAGATATAGATATATATATATATATATATATATAGATATATATATATATATATAAAACATGCAATATAGCCCATCAATATAATATTCTAGCAACAGTAGTATGACACAGCTTTGGTAATCAGTTTAAGAGAAGCATCAGGCAGGGATATGGAAAGACAGATCAGCTTCCGGACAAACAGCATAAAAGGAAAGAGGCACACAACAAGAGACATGTACAGATGTATGGAGGTCATACTGAAGACAATCAAAAAAGCAGGAAGCCATACTAACCTCGTGGTTCTAATGTATTGTCTACTTTGTCGTTTACATCAAAAACGCGGTCATGTACGCCTATAGTTTTCACACAGCTGTCTATAACAGAAAATAGGGAGAATGAGAGATCATTAGAGGTATATGCCAAATAGGTTAGTGACATTTGAAGCCCCCCTCTCAGCCCTGAAATTAAACATCCCAAGCAACAAAGCTCATGGCAACATTCAGATGAGGTATGAAGTGACCTGGATTTCATTTGATGGGATCATCTATCATCCTTTCCATGTTTTCAAACAAAACATTTTCTTAGCAAGTAAAGCAGTTTTGTGATAAATGGAAGGGGGTATGTTGGACAGTGAACAAAAGGTAATCGAGGAGGAAGTGAGGTAACCAGAGAAGTAGACATAAACTATTTTGATTTTTAATCCAAATGTATACTTCAACGAGCTCTATTACAAAGCCTTATGTTGCATGCAAACACTTACTTGATGGTCGGACGAAAACTTTAAGCTTCAGGCATGTTTTCCTCCCATTCTCAGCAATGGTGGAGGCTGAAAAAGAAGTACAGACATAGGTAAAGAGGGTGTTAATTTAATACAATATGTAGTATCACATGTGCACTAAACAATCAAAAACTTTGTTTCCGACTACTTTTCCTTCATATAAAGACCTGCATAAATTCCCCGTAGACAACAGTTAAAACTGTAGTTTATTCAAAATAAACGTTCAGATAGTTAATGTTGACTCTTAAGTGGATTTTGGGGGGTTTAGTCATGGCTCTTGTGAAATTATAGCCAGAAAGTATTTACAGATGTGCTAGGAAAATCTCTAGGGAAAGTGGAGTGCTTTACTCACACTTTAATTGTAGCATTTTAGATTTTACGGATGGCAGCAGCTTAGTGAGGATCAAGAAATTAACATTATTTGGACTTTTTTTTTTTTTTAAACACTCCAAACTGGAAGCCTATCATGTTGTTCTAATATTTTATATGTATACATTTGTATTTTCCTCAACCTCGACACTCTTCGAGGGACCCAAAGTTCACACACAGAGGTATGTGTGGATGATGGTTTGCGGTTGCTGTCAGGAAATGGATCCCTTCCTGTCAAGCCCATGGGGTGTGCATCTCTGAGCGTTAGCTACCATAGTGGTTGTAGCACATCCCCTAAAAATATCTCATGTGGAGAGCGCGCGCGTGTGTGTGCGGTTGACCGCTAATGGTGTTGTGGTGAGGCACCAGGTGCTGTCTCCTGTAGACGAGGATAAGGGTCAAACACATGTCAGTTGGAGCGTGGTGGGTCCGCACTGCTTGCATCTATCATGGTAGCAGAACGTACAGTAATTTAAAAATATATGCTGTTGTCATGTGTCAGGACCTCTCATCAAATGGAGAATATTGCAGGTTTTTGTCATAAAATAATGCAATTTATTAAAAACTAGTTTTCATTACTATCCCTTTCAGCTCCAGAGAGACCATATTGTCCGTTAAGATGACTTTCGGGCATCATTTTATGTCCTCTGTGGATCATTCCACAGCTGATGCAATGAAGCCAAGCATTTCCAAAGGCTACCATTTGGGATCTGTCAACTCCTCTCTAGTGAACCTTTACCTAACCCCTCCCTTCCCTTCCCTCTCTCCCAGCTGTGTCACCCTCTCTTCTCGTCTGTCAGTGTGGCCATATCCATTCATCAAAGCTCAACTGACCTGCCATATTTGCAGCACATACACCCATGAATGTGGGCACGTACACATGCATGCAAGAAACAGATGTTATAGTGTCTTATACTGTCTTGATGTTATAGTACATCATCTTAAATCATTTTTACAATTCTCTGATTCTCTCAATTTGCAGAATGTTTTACATTTTTCAAAAATGTCTGTATACACATGGCTGCAATTGATGTTCCAGCATTTTTTCATGTTTAGGTTGCAAAAAAAAATCAGTGAGCTGTCTCTTTAGCCAGGGATGTGTTCATTAAAGAATGATTGACTAATACCTATGGAAAAGAATTAGAGAGGGAAATCTATTCCTTTCTTCAATTTTCTATGCTCTCTACTCCTGATTTATAGTAGAGATCCAGATGCCAGTTTTTTTTTTAATCAAATGCATATTGCATACTCTTTCAATCACCTTCATTTTGCGAAGCCTTCTCTACAGCTCATCAAGCGCGCTCTCTCTCTCTCGCTGTCGCTCTTGCTCTCTCTCTCGGCCTTGCTGTTACCATTTTAATGTTGTCGCTCCATCAGCTGTTATCTGTTTCTTAGTCATGTGTCAGTGTGCAAGAGAGGTGGCATGAGATCAGTTGCCTTTTTTTCACACCTCTGTTCATATTCAGCAGATGCAGAAGAGGACAAAAGTGGAGGGAAGAGAGAGAGAGCCTTATTATTTCGCTGTGGAGGCAGCCGATGACACGCTAATGAACCTTGACCACCGGCGCTCACCCACTCAGTCATATATACACACCAGTACCCACACAATTTATGTCACTCTTCTTATTGCTCCACTTCTCTTTTCCACCACTACTTTATGCTCCCATTTTCAATGTGTGCACACACACAGCCAGCACACACATACGCGCACACATAAAGACACCATCTCTCCAGATGTCTTATCTTCATCATTGTTGTGGGCAGAGCTGAGTCACAGCCATCGACACCAGCCACTTAGCAAAGGCAGCTGATCATGAGAGACGTATGGCCGTGATGAAAATGGCAAAAGGCATGTGGGAGTCTCTGTCATGATGACAGTTTGTGAAGCTGTTGTGATGTATATAAATTTGGCCACTACATGCTATCTACCTACTTACACAAGGAGAATCGTGGCCATCAGGTGCAAGAGTGAACAGATATCATGACTGCGGTGATCCAAGTGGCTTTCAACAATTACATAGTTTCAGTGGAATTCATTATTAAAGCTAAAGCGTCTCATTTCTATGTTTCTTATAAAGTAAATGACAATGACCAGCCAATGTTGACGTTGCTCTGCTAATGTGACAAAAGTCTGAGCTAGGATGTGACCATTGTGTTGATATGCAGCAGATGACTAAGATGTGTTGCCGGACTGTACATTCTTGACTACAAAGGAAAGATTAGGCTTTGGCTCTGCATTCCTTTCTTGGTAGCAGCTCCTAATTCTCTGTGTGTGATGAGGATCCCTCCATCCGGGCCCAAACTGTCCGCGCCAGCGCCTGTTTATTTTGGATTAACATGCTGCTGAGGGCCAGCTTATTGTTCTTGTAGGCCGTAACATCAACACCTGCTATTCTGGTTCCCATCAGGGCCCACAGCCTCAACCATCAATCCATCCGGCCTGAGCAAGTGGCCGCTTTGAAGGACAGAGGCCCTTAAAAGATGTCCCAGAGACGGGGGGGGGGGGGGGGTCAGGTTACTCCTCCAAGCCTTGTCCCCTGGCGGGTAATGGCTGGTCCCCTCAGTACACTGCATTATGCATCAGCATTAAGGCAAATGGAATGAAGCAGAATCCAATTACGGAAGAACAAACAGGTGGGCTCAATGCAGCTTAGGCGCAGTATTGTTTCAATCACAGCCCAAGCCAAGCTTTATTGCAACTGTAATGTTATCTGGAAAACACATTTCCTTTGCCTTTCAATGAAAGATTCAACAGCACGTTCCAGACACGAGGACATATAACCATGTGTCTGCAGTGATAGGAAGCAACGAGTAACGTTTACGTGGACTTAATACAGTAGATAATGTAATTGCAGGATATCAATTTCTTATCCATGGCTCAGCTGGGTGAGTCAAACTGCCATAACAGGCTTTGTTTATTATTATTTTTTAACATTAAAACAGGTGTCGTCAGGGTCTTCTCATTGCCAGTGAACATTTCCAGGAAGTGGACATTTGCAATATCAACACAACCACAAGGCTTAATGCAAATTGCAGATTAGCAGTATGGCACAAATGGTTTAAAATCATTTGTAGAGTGAAAGTTTCAATTTCCCCTCCTTTGATAAATACTTTGACAGCTGTTTAAGATTATCTTGTTTGAAGTGGTTCTCTACGACATCGGTAAGCAATCCAATGTGTCCCAAATGTCCACAAATCTAAACATACTGTGATAACCAACTGTTGACATTTAATATAAAACTGTATTTTATTAGCAAAGAAAAGCCGAGCCTTGCGTAGACACCATCATGTAAACTTGTAACATTAATAACATCATGTTAGCGTGCCTCTAGTGTGCTTCAGGTCTCCAGCTGGCTTTAATAATGGTGCTCTAATCCTTTGATCCCTGCTTATTTGTCAGAATGGGACGGGTTAAACAGAAAGCCCTGTAATGTTGTGTCCAGCACTGAGCATTCATAGCTTGCTAATTCTGCCAGCTCTCTGGAAAAAAAAAGGCAGCGAGTCTTGTCTTTCATTCACTGAGATTGCTTGTGTGGATTACATTGTACAAACCTAGTCAGAGTTTAGGTCCAAGAGTCTGATTTTACATAAACCGGTGTCCAAGAGAGAGGACACACGTAGACAAAAACACACAAATACATGCAGCGCTACTTTCTAGAACCTTTGTGTCGTCTTCTGCCCACGTCTCCATCTAGCTAATTAGACAGTTCGCAGCCAGAATACATTTCTTCTATTCCGTGTACAGAAATCACTGCTGGGATTCATTAACGTTTGTCCTTCGGTTTCAGGGTGTGGAATCAGACAATGAGGAGGACAGATGATGAACTATGTGGAAGAAAACCTTGAGTTCAAGAGACTAATGTAAGTTTCAGAGAGGGTAAGAGAGAGAGTGAGTGAGTGAGTATTTATATGGCCTCTTAAATAGGTAATATAAACTGTTGCAAGGTCCAAAATAATCTATTCAGTGCCTACAATAGTATAAAATGTTGTACATGCGTACAGCATGTCCTTCACCACATTCAACCAGTTACAAAGCAGCATACATTTCTACTAAGACATCTTCAAAAGAGGAGGGCAAATATAATAAAAAGATTCAAAACTACAGAGCAGCACATAGAAACTATCTGGACTGCATGTGTGTCTGTATGTCTACACAAAATGTGTGCGTGTAAGAAGATGGAAGAGACCATCCACTGAAGAGGCCCATTAACCAGATGCTACTACAGCGAACGCACAATAGGAGGGAATGATGGGGGATGCCAGAAGTGGTGAAAGAGGAGGACTTGGATTCAGGCAGCCGAGGGAACATAAACTCCCACCCCCCCGGTGATAGCTGGCCTTTTGCTCTCTCCGTGCATCTTTCAACTTACGCCAAACCTGAACTGCAGTCATTCCTCATGCCACTTGGCGCCGAGGTTGAGAGGTCACAAGCAATGAGGAGAAGAGTGAGAGAAAGAAGGGGAGAGGGGGTGAGAGCAATAAGTTGAGAGGGGTAAGTGAGTTAAAATCGATAATGCCCAATTAAACATTGCACTAGCTTCCTCACACTGATGTATGTCAATGCAGTAGTGTGGGGACACAATTATTTCCCTTCGCTATTATGGGAATGTACAATAAGCATCATTATTTTGTGAAAGATCACAAAATGATAATCTAACAAATTACTCTGTCTTCTGGAAAATGAAAAGTGAGTGATTGAAAGTCTGAAAAACCCTTAAATTTCATCAACTCATTCATGTCTTCTAACTCAAATTACAATGAATGTGATGATTTATTAATCTAAGGGAGGGAGGGTTCAGCTTTTTAAAGCTGCCACAGAATAATAAATCACTGTACATAATAATGTTTCATTACTGCACTTAGTGTAGCCCATAGAATCATAATATTATTGTTATGGCATCCACCCTCTGAATAAACCAGATGTGTGTGGAGGTGTGCGTGCGCAAATGTGTGTATTGCAATAGACAGAATGAAGAACAAGTAAATTAACAATAACCAATTAAACATAATGACTAATGCACTGGGTTAATAATATATGTGTTAATGGTTTAATGGACAAGGAGGAAATGCCCTTGTCTTTGTGAAAGTGAATCTTAATCAGCTCCTGAAGACGGTTGTTAGATGCATGAGTCATATTAGGCTGAGAGGAACCTCGTGCCCTCTGAATCACAACCCTCGTCTGCCCTACTTTTCCTCTGATCTCTTGGCTTTTCACAGCCTTTCTGTTTTTCTGCAGACAAAGTGATGACTACTTTATTGGCGGTCAAACTCAAATAACTTGATTAGAGACTTTTCTGCCTCGCCTTGCTTTCTCTGGGCTGTCAACAAGTGGGCCATGACTTAGCTCACGGTCTATTATTAGCAAAGTCTGGCCAATGGGCTGGCTCGCTGGTTGACTGTTTTCAGTTTATTTTTAAAAGGGGACTCTTGAACGCCAATGTCATGGAGTCCAGTCACGGCCAGGCCTTTAACAGTTTATTCTTATGTTGTTGGATCTTCTCAAGAGTCTGTAGACCAAACTGATTTTGTAGCATTTTCTAATGTGTTTGATGTGCATATTGGGTGACACATTTAAGAAATTTGAAAATGAAGTGTCTTAGTGAGGTGTTAGGCCACCACAAGCTGCCAGAATAGCTTCAGTGCAGCTTGGCATAGATTCTACTTCTAGTGGGATTGAAAAACACTCTTCCAAATGATATTCCCTCATTTGGTGTTTTGATAGTAGATGTGAAGAGTGTGATCCAAAACCTCTCATACATGTTCAATTGTGTTGAAGTCATGTGACTGTTAAGGCCTTTGCATAATATGATTCACATCATTTTCATAATCAACTAACCATCCGGTGACTCCCTTGTGCTCTCTATGGAAGCACCTGCATTTGTTGTGCTTTATTCTGGTTTTCCTTTAATTTGTCACCAGTCTGTAAAGAGAGGGGAGTTAGTTACTGTGGGTAGTGCTGTCCTTAAATCCACAGGAAGATGAGATGAAAAGGGGAGATAAGAAATGATGTAACCATGGGAGACTGAGGTGGTGGAATGTCTATCCATGTATCAGGATTATAATGATGCATTCAAAGCAGTGTGCATCTGTGCAGCTTTTATGTGCGTCTTTTCATGCATGCGTGTGCATATTGTACATGAGGAGATGAGTATCCATGCGAGAGTTTGTGTGTGTGTGTGTGTGTGTGTAGCTTTCTGTCATATAACTCCATGTTGTCGGATCATTTCTGAATGCTGATGACACGTTGATTTTTCATGTGAACGAATGAAAGGGCTGAGTTATGATGGTCCATATGCAGGGTCCCTCCTTGTACCACCAATGGAACAGCACCAGCTCTTTATCATTATTAGCAGATCTCCCATAGCTCTAACAAAACACAGACAGCATACACCAGTGGTCGGCAATAGGTGGCCTGCGGGCCAGAACCGGCCCACCAGCAATAATATCTGGCCCGGGGCCAGAATGCTTTGATAGCAGAAAAATAAAAAATAAGCTAAATAAATTGATAATGGCTGGTGCTGAAATAGATCTCAGTCATGACAGCTACAGTTACACAATCACTTCCTGTTAAGTGATTGTGCCTCTAAAATAAAAGCATGAGAACGTCTTTTGCAGCAATGCTTCATGTCGAGTTAATTAAGAGCTTTTACTTTGAAGAGTTCTGAAGGACATTCAAAAGAGTCTCTGGCTTGCTTGACACACCTCTGAAAAAGCCGTCAGTAAACGTGTGGATTGTGGATCGTGTTGGATTCTCCTGAATTTCCTCAGGGAAATGAAAATAAGTGTCCACAGGTTTATGAATGTGGATCAAACGCCGGAACGCGCACACACACTGCAGCACATGAGCATGTGCAAAAGTGTCCTTTTGTTCATATGTCTATTAATGCCATTTTCCTACTCCTGCTGCATACTCTACGATCTCTTCTCCTTTCTCCTCTCGGGACAGGCTTGAAGGAGCATGGCACATCACAGGATTTATGATCAATCAGACGGCTTTAGTCCATGTCTTGGAGAATCTGTCTGAGCTTTGTGTGCATGTTGCAGTCCAGTAAAGTTGAATAAGACCTTATGAATATCAAAAGGTTTTCTTGCGTGTTAGCTTGGTATTTATGATCATTGATTGAAGCCTCACCAAATGTTTTTTCATTTTGTAATTTAACATGGGTAGAATCATCGCCCACCCTCTGGGTTATGTTGGCCATTTAGCAAGTGTTGCATTTGATATCAGCCACATATTTTCTGTGTTTCTGTAATATCCCTCTTTCTCGCAGTGTCAAACCCAGAAATAGCTATAAAATAACTCCATCCACAAGTGTGGCGCAAAGGGGGTTATTGATTGTGTTTTCCGTGCGAAGCAGTAGCAGTACACATAGGTGAAATCTTTTCTGCCGACAATCTGCCACTGCATGATCACACCGAGTGGTTTCCTATTTGCCACACATCTTACACGCCTAAAAACACGATAACTCGGCTCACTCATCTCTTGCAGTGAGCTGCCACCGATATTGGATTTCTGCCCTTTTCAGATTAAAATCACTCAAATACAAGATTGTGGATTGTGTCCATATTAAAAAAAACGTGCTCACATCAGCATTCTGTGAGATGGGTTTCACTTAAACCATGAATGCACTGCGAACTCTGACCTGAGAATTGCTCTCAACTGTCCGCTTATCCTGTTCCGTCTGTCACAGAGGCAGACACTTTTGAGCTGTAACTCACTGCTAATGCTACATTTTGCTGAATTGATTGCATATGTGGCCGTTGGATTACTCTCTGTGTCTCCCTGGGACTGGTCAATTTTACGTCTTTAATGTATTCCTCTGTTAATTTTTTTTAATCTCCCGGCCCTGTCTTGTGTTGAGAAAACACAGCTGGGTGGTGTTTACAAAAGGATCAGGCTCCTGACTGACTCCAGCTTTTGTCATGTCTTCAATTACCTGCCTCAGACAGAGAGAAGAGGCTGACACTAACAAAAATGAAGAATTATGACCTCCATTTGAGTAAACTCCCTCCGTCCTGCTAGCGTTGATTAAGCTGTTTCTGTTGTTGAAGCAGATGACAGCAGAACCCTGTCTCCTCTCTCTAATTTTATCAGAGATGCAACAAATCAGCCCTCGACCCGCAACAAACTCATAGGGCGAAAACACCATTAACGGGCATTTTCTCTGCAGGGATATGATGTGACAGCTTAATTTTCATCTACAAACAAGAAAGCTAATCAATCACATCACTGAGGGCCGATTTTTCATCCCCCATTCCCTCAGGTCATTTGGCTACAGAATGTTATTAGAGATGAGGAAAAGATTAATATTCTGATACTGTATGTATGAGCACTGTTTATATATAAGGTCTCTACTGCTCTGCATGTTGTTAAACATTGGTTACTCTAAATAAATACTAGAGTAATCAGTGAAATATTGACTGTAAATGAATATTTTATCTTAAGACTACTTCTGCAGCAATGCTATAAAACCAAAGAAATAATGCATTTCATGATTTCCCCTTTATGATATACTGCTACATCTCAACTGCATGAGCCCATTCACAGTTAACAACTGCAACCTCTGCCTCATGTGCTCATGGGTAGTGACCTCTTCCTCAGGACACACTGAAGTTTCTGTTTAGTGCAGGTGTCCAGCTTCAGTGAGTAATGGTGCATACGATTTTCTCTGTTAGATATGCTACACTACGGATTCACACAATGTAGGCAAATTGGATACAAGGGCAAAGTCTGACCACTGATTTTGTGCTGAGCTGCAGATATCGTCATACCTTATACAGTAGAAATGTATTTGCTATGTTGACAATAGTTGTAGGTACTATTTGTGGTGTAATGTCCAGTGGAAAATTGGGTAAACTCAGTTTAATATCACTCCTCTGGTGCACAACCTGAAATACTCTCATTTCAGTACATTCAAAGGTGATATCTTGGTTTCTATAAGCCTTCCAAGGCTAGTTTATGTGGCAATTTCAAGTAGGAGACGTCATGAACATTGGTTGCTAACTTGAGTCAACATAGTGTTTACAAGCGTGTGAAAACTGACATCTATGTAGTGATGCTTCAAGTCAAGAGTGGACCTGAAGATGTTAGAAGAACCAATGCTGAATAGTGTCCCTAAAAATATCTAGCCTGAGCCTAGAGCTTAATCAGTGTTTACTCATGGCTGCACAGCAGTACTCACTGATGGCTTCAAACCTGACAACCATCTTTATTCTCGTTGGCGACAATAATGAGACTGGATATCGTTGCAAGGTAGATGGCAATGTGTTATCACAATAACAGTCTGAAGTTAAATATCTGTTTCATAGTTCAATAAGCTTCTACATCTCAGAAATAAACCTGGACACATAACATAATGATTATCATTAAAAAGAGCTACACAGTGCCTTCACTTCATTAAGCATTAAGTGTGGTGTTATCAGACACTGACAAACTGCAGGCACTATACCACTGAAAAGATTCCAGCAGGAAGAATGAGTTCTTCATGGCAGACCAGGAGAAAAGGACTACACTAAATATTGTTAAAACAAACAACTCACCTGCCCAATGCTTTCTTTGCTACAGAAACAACATGAATTCAGGCCTTTCCAGCTTTGTTTCTGGGAACAGACGTGTTTTCTATCTTGGGTCTGACTGTATATTGTAACTTCTGACTGAGGTAACCCAGAATCTGTAACACTGTTTCTCTCCACACTGGACATTATCTGAATATCAGTCGAGTCATCTGAAAGTGACAGTCCTTAAAGAGGCAGCATGTTCCTCAAGAACACTTCACTAGGACAAATGATTGACATCATGCATCTTGTCTTAAAGGGGCTGTTTACCATTTCCCATCACCACACCACTGCTTAAGAGTATCATGCAAACTTTATACATAATAACTTTATATAGATATAGTTCTTTATATATACACATATATATTTATTAGTGTGTATCATTGGATATTGTGCCACGTAATTGACAAACCAAATGAAGGCCAAAATGATGTGAGCAAATATTGGTAGCAGGAAAATGGACTCACGTGGGATGGCCATGTTGCTCTGTTTCTGCTGCATTATGTAAGCAATGTTACGAAACGTTTTGTTAACACATTAGTCAAAAGAACTTAATAAGCTGAATATTATTATATGCCTAGTGATGACTCAGTCCAATCACTTTACCACTTAATAGAGACACAAAAGGAAAGTTTTAGTGAGACTACAGACTGCAACAGGTCACAAAACTTGTAGCAGTTGGACCTAGGTCGGTGTTGTTAAGTAAATTAACTGTGCATGTAAGCATACAGTACACCAAGGAAATGGAACTTATGCCTGAAAAGTTTACCCCTTACAACTTAAATGCCATAGATTGTTGCAATTGGTGCCAAACAGACCTGCTTCTGTTGTTATGTGGTTTTCAGTATTGCTCTTTAAAAAAGATTAAAGATAAAAGATGATCAAGTCTGAGCTAAAGTTTTTCACAATCTTGGCTGCTGAATATTTATATTAATAGTATGTTAAGCCAAAATGTAATCCCTTAGAAAATTACAGTAATTAGGTTATACTCTTTTGAAAAATTCCCTGTTGTGATTTAATTTTGCAGCCTGTTTACTTAATGCTCAGTTAAAAAGTTGTATTTATCACTGAATTCTTAAGATTAAAGGAGAATAAAAATGATGTAACCCAATGCAACTTGAAAGGTCTTACATGTTTCTACTACTAGTTGATGAGGAAGACTCCCTCATGGTGGTGGTGGTGGTAGTGATGATGATAGAACTGTCCAGTCCAGCAGCCATCTTCGCTGCTACTTATGGACATCCAGGCTGGACACATTGGCAGTGGGAAATCACATGTCGGACGACTTCATGGTAGATGACTTTAATATCCGCCACAGTAGCCAGAGAGGCTATACGCTAGAATCATTCAATAGCCAATGAAGCCGCGGGCCACTAAACCAATATGGCGTGCTACAGCAGAATGGATGTGTTCCATGGAAGCCCTGTCGGTCGCAGTGTAATTTAATCCAGCCCTTAGGACAAGCATCTCTCAACAGAAATGGGGGGGGGGGGATGTTAGAAATGGAGACTTGAGGGAGTGGATGAATTGTATAACCCTTCGCTAACCCCCATCTGTGCTCCTAACTTCCGAGACTTCCATTTTCCCCTCGTCTCATTTAGTATGACTGTCAATGCAAATTGACTATAAAAGCAAAGGCAAATCTGGTTACTTTTGAGCAGACAAATGGCCAAACAACTGGTTGCTGAAAGGCCTCTGGAAAAGATTTGAGGCTATTTGTTTTGTGGACAAGCTTGAGAGAGAAAACACCTATTCACCACAGAAACAACAGCAAACATTAGGGAGGCACTGTTTTTTTTTTTTCTTCATCTCCAAAGTGTTATGGGGCAGGGCGAGAGAGCGAAACACGTGAAGTGAATAAAGGACAGAAGTCTTGGCTGGCTGTCAGGTTAACTGCTTCATAAAAAGGTGCCAATTTAGAAAACAGATCTCAGCATGGAGAGCTCGGCTCAGCTACACTCCTGACTCTTCAACACTGTCTCTGAGAAAAGGAAACAACACATAGACACAGGGGTTTGACAGCCACCTAGAGCTGCATTAACACCAGGCCAAATTTTACAGATAAATAGATACTAGTATAACCAACTGCGTTTAGCAGTAGGGTGTTAGCTGTCAAAATGACACCCCCTTGCTGGGAAGAAATGTGTACAGTTTTTCTCATACACTAGCTCGCAAAGTGCACAAACCTTTAAACTTTTCCTTCAACAGCTGAAGCAATAATGCATCACGCTGCATGATATTGCACTAATGCCACCCATATGAGAACATAACTGTGCTTTCTATTTTGTAATTTCAGCGTCTCACTGTGACAAATGTCTTTTGAGCGAGTGGCGATGACTGCGCCCACAGACAGTGACTCCTCCGTCTCCCATGTGCGAATAGTCTGTGGTGGGAGGACAAACTCAACTCAATTCCACTCTATCACCTTGCTTTGATAAAACCTAATTTCCCAGGGGCTTCAACTTCAGATGAACTCAGTTAGGCTCAGTTCCTATGCCAAGAAGCAGACAACTTGACATCCAACGCGAGCTGAATAGCAGCATAACAAAATGTAGAGAGGAGGGCACTCCATTTTGAAGGATACAGTAGTGTGCGGCAGGGGAAGTGAGCTATAACTTTCAAACTGTCTCAATTTAACTCCCCCATGAATTCCATTGCCATTTTAGGGAAGAGTTTTCCACGAGTGATGAGAGCAGTGTGAAAAGCTTGGCTGAAAGCAGAGCATGAAAGCGTCTGCTCGGATCACTGTAATGCCACTCTTAAAGCTCTGTGCTCAAGTTGTGAAAACATGGGTGAGGGGTAATGTGTGTGAGTGTGTCTCATGCTCTGTTGTATTATAAGAAAAGCATTAGGTCAGGAAAGGGCCATCTAGGTTTGTAATTCATGTCAAGTTAGGTTATTTGGCTTCATATTTTTCTGTGAATGCATGTGGGTTTTTGTGCAGCTTAAGAAAACTTAAGAAAAAGCAAATATAAAGGACAGAAGAAACATGAAAAATGCAGATATAAGAGGGGGCCCTTTATATCAGGGGTATTCAATTAGATTTCAAAGAGGTCTAGTTAGAGAAAATTTCCTGAAGCAAAGGTCCGGAACATCAAAACGACGAACTTGCGTTATCATTCAGTACTATAACCTATAGTTGTATCAACACATGTTTTTAGTCAACAACAGACTGTCAAATCAAATAATATTTCAGTCAGTTTTCACATCAAACTGGAGGGATAATAAATAATAACTATTCAAATAATAAATTCTAAATTTAAGTAAACTAAAGTGCCTAATTTTTAGAAAAAATGTAATAAAAAGTGTAGCTTGAAGTGATGAAGTGTAGTCTTAACCAATTTTATAATAAACACTCAACACATCATAACAAATGAACAGCTGTAATGCCTCCTCTTCTCTTTCATTTCCTCTTACAGAGCTACCACTTTCCTACTTTCTGTTGTTCAGTGAGAAACGTGAGCTCCAGCTAGCATATTGGAGATCTATGAGATATTCTGGTTTTGAACTGCCCGTGGGAGGAAAGTACATGTAAAAATCTGTACATTCTTGATTAAAAGTCATGTGAAATCTCTTTTCCCTTTCATCTCCTCAATTCGGGTGTGTTTCCAAAACGTCTCTGGTGAATCTCGCGGACTCGACTCGCAAGCGGTATGCACAGATTTGATTGGCTGAGCAGTGTCACATGAGACGATTGGAGCACATGCGATTGGTCTGTGAGTTTCCTGGTCCTCTAAACCAGTACAGTAAATGCTAGAAAAGCTGCGCGGGTTAAAATAGAAACGCTCCGTCACCAGGTAGTAAGTCTCAATAATAAATGGGCTGTAGGTCGGCGGTCCGGAGAGGACGGCGGCTGGGTCCGGATCCGGACCGCGGTCCGCCTATTAGTGACCTCTGCTTTATATTGAAGGGTCACTGCCAATCAATACAACACTATTCTGAGTGATAAACCTTATCCTATGATAATACATTTTTGTCCTGAATTGGTAAGTTAGAAACTAATGATGATGATGGTGATGGACAGCTAAACCAACCATTGTTAAAACACCAAATGAGGAAATCTCTTTAGGAAAAATGGTGTTCCATTCATCCAGTTTCAGACGCCTTGAGAAACTATGCCAAGCAGCACTGAAGCTGTTCAACACCTTACTTGTAACCCATCTGTATGTATGCTGTATACAAAGCCATCGTGACTCACAGATGTAGTAGTATTCTCTGCCCGGTCTGAACTCAAAGCCCAGGGAGAAGGGAGTGAAGAGCTGGAACTTCTCTGAAAACTTGAGCGGTCCGTTCGGGGAGTGTGGCCTGTTGCACTCCCAGCGTTTGAAGCCCTTGGCGGTGTGGTCGCACGTGCTGTAGCCATCGTAGTTAACCATATAGAGGACATAGCGCTCCGTCCGCTCCTCAGGCACCGCATCTTCGTAGTGAGGACAGTAGACATCAAGGTAGTCGTTTATGCACACGTCGATGTGGTAGTCCCCACGATGGAACCTGGTTGTAAAACAAATAACAAATGGTTAACTTCTTGCTATTTACATGAAGTATAGGCATAAGTTCAGACCACTTGATGTAAAATGATGTGTATGCACTTAAAACGTTACTTAAGTATAATATTAGTACATTCCTTCAGTTAATATGGAAAAAAGTTGGTTTTAATTCAGCACATATGCAGAGAGTGCAGGTTGGATCTCTCTGCACTCGTTTACTGTTGTGTGGAAATTTATAAGCACGAGTGCTCTCATCTTCAGACCTCAATAAATTTGGGCGGGTTGGTTAATGTAAATCTATCATTGCAACAGATATTTACTCACATGTACACACATCTGCCTTCCGAATGATAGCAAACTGAAGTATCCAAGTCAGAGAAAATATGCTTACAAGAAAACAGTTTTGGGTCTTCAAAACAAGTCAAGTGTCTACAGACAGACAACCTCGGGCTGTGTGCAAAGTAGAAATGATCATGAGGATACAGGATGGACCAGATAGTAAATGTCAGCATAGGAAAAATACAGAGCCTGGCTGTCTCTGAGGGCTGTGCAGTGAGGCATCTTTACAGCTGCAATGATCTAGAACAGGCCACACAGGGTCAGAGGGCTTCAACATATACAGGCAGATTCATTAAAAGGCCATACACTGTCACAAACACACACACACAGACACACACGTGTGTAATTCCTTCTCTGTTGCCCACAAAATAGGTCTCTCTCCTGTACAATTTTCACAGCTACCAAAATTGGACAGCAATTCCTGTGTTGTGAGTCTCTGGCTGGGTCTAGGATGATATGACCCTAACCCTGGGGTCACAGAGAAAACACTGAACACCTGTAAACTTGCTAGGGATGCCCTCAATTTAGCACACACTTGAAGCACTGTAAGAGTGACACAATCACACACACACACAGCTGGTACCACTGACTCATTTTACCCAGAAGCCAGGTGGTGTGAGCTTTTAATTGAGACCCAGTCTTTAATGTTATAAGAGCACAACCTGACAAGAGTTTCGACAAAACTTTTAATTGAAAACCCGCCACTGCTGTCTATAAGAAGGGCTCCTCAAGCCCCAGAAAGCACAAGGGGCAGAGCGTATAACAGGCTAAAATAATTTTATCCTGAGGACTGTGGAGCCTCAGGATTAACATACTGAAGCAGTACACACACAGCATAGTGACCTTTTTCTCTCACCATGCAGCCTTGTGTGTTGGTGTAGTTTGTGTACTCTTTCCAAGCCTCCGTGGTTTAGAGGAGCTTGTGTGGCTCAGGTCCTATCTATCTGGCGACACCTGGAAGATGGTAGACGTCCGGGCTCCATATTCTTCATGTATGATTACAATGTCATTGTCATCCTGATTGTCCACACTGTAATTTTACTCTGTTGGTCTATTCTGTACACACGGCAGCTATTGGTTTCCTTATCTGAATCGAGGGTCTAAGGATAGAGGGTGTCAACGTATGCTGTGCAGATTGTAAAGCCTCTGGAGGCAAATTTGAGAGAGAGAGATTTATGATACTTGGCTATATAAAAAAATTTACTTTACTTTTCAGCTCTCATGCACAAAATGCCCATTGTGTCTTAAAGATTTGTACAGGAAGCGACATGTTTGGCAAAGGAGGCTTTTTGCAGTTGGTCATAAATACCAGTGAGGAAAAAATTTTATTTTGTTTGATTGGCATTAAATGCCTCAGACATCTTAGATGCTGATGAAAATACTACGCTGCACAATGGTGTAAAAATGTCAGTACTTTTCTCTTTCTCATCCTCCTTTTCACCTTGTCGCTCTCTTTCCACCCACTTATTTGCTATCTCTATTCAGAACAACAAGCTTTGCTCGTTATTCCAATGTGATATTTGAATTCTGAATCTAAAGGCTGGATTTTCTAAGATCAAATCTCTGTATATACACTGAAAACGCTTGTCCTCTTTGGCTGCATTTACTTCAGTCTGCAGTATGTCTAGACAAACTACCCAGAATTACAATAACAGTGTAAACCAGGCCAGTTATTTTGAAGATCAAATAGCGATTTGAGAAAAATCTGGTTTTGGCTCCTTCACTTGTCACTTAATTCATGTCGGTATAATCAATTGATTAATGTAACAATCATGCGACAAATCAAACCACAGCCATTTCTCATTACTGTGATCATGTGGGTCTGCTATGTGGGTCTGGTGTGTGTGTGTGTGTGTGTGTGTGTGCGCACGTGTGCATAAGTTTGAGCTAGCATGAAATGTTGCTTTTCTGTGTTTACCCATGTAGGGTAAATACCAATGTGAGGCTGTTTACAGCCAAGGCATGGAGTAGCTCATCTGTAACATCTCATTTAAAACATGTCTGTGGAGGTCCAGGAAGAGCCATGCATCAGCCTCAGTGCTTTAAAATGTCACTGACTTAATGGTCACATCCTCCCATCCGCTCTCGTCCCAGCGTCTGTGTGTGTGTGTTTGTGTGTATGAGAGAGAGAGAAAGAATGAGAATGAGTGTGTGTGTGTGTGTGTGTATGATGTTTCAGCTGCCCTTCTCTCCCTGCCTCAGCAGTCAGAATAGTGGCTTGTGGCCCTGACTGCAAATGAAGCAGAGGATGTTTGGGTGAGTGAGCACGTAAAAAGGGACAGGACAGGCATTTGTAACATGTTACACACTCACACAAACACACACCCGGCACACACCTCCACGCACATACATTAGGTTTGTGTTATCTGTTCAGTGAGCTCCCTGGCACACTGGCAAAGGAACAGCAGTGAGACAGCCAGAAGCTGCTAATGGCACAGAGTGAGAAAGAGACTGAGGGTGACAAACAGACAGGGTGAGAAAGAGAGAGAGAAAGGACCTGGTTCCAAAAAAAGGTGAGGTAATACAAAGCAGAGGCAGCAAGACTGAATAATGTAGTTAGTATTGCCGGGCTACCAGTGAATCCAAGTCTTTGCAGAAGTTATTCAACCATGCATTTATCATTAAAGGAGATTCTAGTTAAACTGTATGTGCATGACATGACTGCATGTGCAGCCAAAGTTGTACGTTTTTGTCTATTCAGTGCGGGATTATCATCACAATGGCTCCCGGAAAACTCCTTGTGTTTTGTAGAAAGCTGTGTTTATTGTCCTTATAAAAACCCTGTTATCAGGGGACTAATGTGGGAGTTTTAGATGCGGCTGGTGTCTTGTTTATAGCGATGGCAGCTTTAATCGGCTGCTGCTGTTATATAAACAGTCCCCACTTTTCAGCAGAAAGAGGGAAAACATCCTTTACCACGAAATGGACATGTGTTGTTCAGCCTCCGTGTAGGACACACAAGCACCAAGAGGTTGCACCGATGGGATGCAAATCAAGGCTGTGCTCTGTTAGAATCGCAAAGAGTGAAATATAGGCAGGAGAGATGTAGTAACATCAGGGTCAATAGAGGAGAGTAATTGCAAATATACTGGAGGAACAACTAACCCAGTGGGCACAAATGAAAATGTCAATTAAAGCTGCAGGGAAAATGTGTGTGTCAGAAGTGTGCTTCCATAATAATTATAGATTTTCTGAGAGTATATGGAAAATCAATTAATAAAGTGATCACTTATAAAGTGCAATTACATGTTAATTCTGTCTTTAAATGCTAAATAAATGACTCCCCTGCTGTTACTGACACAAAAGAAGGTGGTAGCAATGTGCAACACGTGACGTGCTGCTCTATGGGTTGGACCTATATAATTTTTAGGTAACACACTGTTTAAAATGAAAGAGAATTGTCTCTAAATCAAAGTTATTATAAAAGGTTTAAAAATTCAAATCAATTGTGAAATTGCATATGATAGGCAGACACATAAGTTAATAGAGTAAAAGCTAACTTAATTTCCCAATATACAATGCATTTTAAAATCAATTTAATAGGTGCTTTAAATAGTTATGTTATAATAACATTTTGTTGCCACACTCCAGAATCCTCAAAGTAATAGCATACAGGTTTCCTTACATTAATGTTCCTGAGAATGGAGCTAAAAGCTGTTACAATTCACATAAGACATTGTCCAGACAGACTTGGCGCTGAGTTGCCGTCGAAATTCCCCCATTGCCACACACATGCACACGCTCCACCCAGCCACCACTCCCTACTTTATGACATACTAATGGCAACATCACGAGCAACAATTTTTTCCCCGTTCTTGTGAGACAAGAGTAGCAGCAGAGAGTGGCAGCGGCGGCCTTTTAGCAATAATATAGATAATTAAGGAGCAAAGTTGGATGGGTAGCTAATTGTCAAATGGTGATAATTACGTGTCTTTGTAAGGCCACAGCTGTCCCAGTGAGCTTCGGGTCACAACACAAAGCCAGGGAAATCAGCTGGACACAGAGCGTGGGTGCAGATGTGTGTGTTAGTCATTGAGTGAGTGAGAGAGAATGAGATGAGATCTTTATTACCAACTGATTACACTTTCACACCGCCTTCTCAGGCCCTCAGGGCTGAAACTGAAGGGCCAAGTATTGTCAGCACAAACCCATACATAAACACACACACACACACAGTCACAAACAGAGAGAGTGAGTTTGGGAGAGCTGGAACAGTGAAGTGAATGCAGGGTAAGGTGGCACACCACTGCAGTCACTGATTGGCTCATTTCCATTTCAATTACACAGCCCAGTGACATTGCTGTGCATACACCCAGGCACACACACACACACACACACACTCACAGGGAGACAAACACACACACACACAACTCCACTTACACGCTTGGGCCCTGCACGCACGCACACACTGTACCCAATGAACTCCCATCAGCCACTTCTCTGAGCTGTGCACCAGTGGCTGCAGACAGAAAGCAAGAAGGACAGGGAGAGATAGCTAACCTGAGTGAAAGAGAAAGACAGAAAAGGAGGAGACCAAGAGCTCAGTGGCAGGAAGAGGCAGAGAGCAATCCAAGTCATCTAACCAGTTGAATAAGTGAGATTCAATAGAAAGAGGGACTTTTCAAGTGCTGCCGTGATAGTGCCTTGCTGTATATACCACTTCTC